GTTACTTGTACTGAAGGTTTTCCTCTCTTTCTGGCTGGTATCTTGCTTTAAAACACTCCTTTGCTTATTGTGCTCTCAAATTATTGGCTGAATTGCTTGCCCAAGTAAAGGATTTATGTACTTAGTATGATTTTACAAATTCACATACAATATCATTCACCATCACCATTATTGTAGTTATCCTTTTTAAGCTTAGTGATCCAGTTTTTTCTTCCTTCCCTTTTTTCCCGTCGATAACAACTACATCATTTCCAGAGCAGCAAACATTATTAATAATAAAATAGTCAGAAACATGTATTCTATTCCTTTAACAGTGTAATAATTTTGCCCAAATTGAATTTCTTTTTGAGGTTGTGAAAACATGAGCACTGTTCCCTACCTCCTAACATGATATTTTTTCTCCATGGGAAAATATATTATGTCATTCTGATTTGGGGCAGAATACAAATATTGATTTCTTAAACTCTATAGCCCTTTTTATCCCTCCATGCAACTTCCTTGTATGAATGAATTAGGAAGAAATTCAATAATAATAATAATAATAATAATAATAATAATAATAATAATAATAATAATAATAATAATAATAATAATAATAATAATGCACTCAGAATTTACCTACCACACACTTATAATCAGAACCATCAAGGAAACTTTCGAGCACTGATTTTGCATCTGCATTTTTCTAATAAGATACTTTGTTGAATGTGTCTGCTTCCCATTCATCTTTGAAGATGCCTGTTTGGAACAGTTAATAAAAGTTTTGGTTTTGGTTCTGCTTCTTTGTCAACTGAAAATAGCTCTACTTAATAGATCTGTGCAAAGTCTATTAAAAAGAATTCTGAACACAATTAAAGCATTTCTGTTCAAATGGTTAAAGCACCACACTTAGTATACATGCAGTTTATGAAACCAGCATGCACAATTGTGTGGCTATTTTAACCTCTTTCTAATGCTTTCCAAAGCCATAATAGTTAAATCAGTGTAACTATGATTCTACCTTCCCAAACAGAAGTTTCAATTACTGATTTTGGGAAAAGAAAGTACTGATGGTGATATGCGGCATCATAAAACACAGCTTATTTTCAGATCACAGCACCAATAAGCAGTTTGATTGGCAACAAATTACTTCATTTGCTATTTATAAAAGTGAATGTGAAATGCATTGCCATTTTTCTCTTGAGTTCATATCAAGCAAAATTTGAAATAATAAATATTTATGAGGTCTGTAGTAACATAATCTAGGAATGCTCAGAAATATTCTGATTTCTAGAAGTTTAAAGGAAAGCTTAATCCTTGATACACCTGCTAAGAATTATTTTAGGGAATGTGTTACCCATTATCTGCTATATCAGTGTTTCCCAAACTTGGCAACTTTAAGACTCTTTAAGCTCTGCTGGCTGGAGACTTCTGGGAGTTGAAGTCCACAAGTCTTAAAGTTGCCAAGTTTGGGAACCACTGTGCTATATTAATCTGGACATCTGATTTTGGGAAAAGCCTTGTTGTATAGGTATCAACCAATGAAACAGTCCTGTGAGTAAAGTAAAAAGTTAAATATTAATTTATATAAAGATGCAGCCCTTCAAACTAATTAGCACTATTTTTACTACTGTGAAGTTTTACAGCAGAAACATGAGTGTAATAATATATTAACAATAAGTTCTCTACATCGCTTACAGGGAAAATAATGCACATGGTATCAATTTAAACTTGAAGTATGATTCTTGGGGGCACTAAAATGTCATTTGTTTTTTATAGAAATTTTATATTTGTGCATAAAATATGCAGAGCATAGCAAGCTTTTCACACCTTCAGATTATAATAATATAATAATGTTTTGCATTATCAGTTTTTTTACAGTTTTTAAAATTATTGCTTTTAAGAGTAATTCAAAACAAAAAAATCCCAACTGTTGTTAAATATAGGAGCTTTCTCCCTTTGAAATGTTTTTCTTAGACACAAAGTGGAAAATATACTGATATGCATGATCATTTTGATAAATACAAAGTCATCCATTTATTTTGCATGGAAGGTACAAAATATTAATTTTGTTAGAAAAGCATATTTAGAAAGAAAAAAATTAGAACCTAAAAATCTGTAATAGTTGTTATCTTTTGGCCTAGAATATATTTTATGCACCACCTCTTAATTCCCAGATATTTTAATAAGTGATCAATATTGAGTAAAACCTCTAGGAGTGCAATCCAGATACATTTGGATTCATCCATTAAATTGAGCTTTCACTGCTCAATTACTACACAGTCTCCAACCAATCATCTTAATCCAGATGAGTGCTTAATGCCAATTCTTATAAACTTATTCTGGGTTGATGAATTCTTTGGCTCCCTGGGGCAATCTGGATTCCTATAGGTGGGGCTTCTGTGCAGCCCCAGTAGGATAATGAATCTGAAAGTTTCCCAAAACAGCAATGCCCCCCTCAACCTTTTGGGCACCAGGTGGTCCGTGGAGAGAGGTTTTTCCCGTGAACCAGAAGGGGTGTGGTTTCATGTGCTTTCTGCATCCCGCGAATGGGGCTTTGCTTGTTTGCATAGCCCAGTTGCTGGCATGCAGCAGCCTGGTGGGTTGGAACTTCTTACTAAACGGAATACTATGTGGTACGAGAGCTTCCAAACAACTTTGGGGTATAGCTTCTTCTTTTTTTAAGCACTTCCCAGATAAAAAGAAAATGATGTGTATCTGCCATTGTTTAAATTTTTCTCTGGCAAGTCTATAAAACTTTGAGATTTGGACTATGTTTAATTTGGGTAGTTTAGATATTTTCCAATGAAATGTATGTTTTTCATCCTGTGATGAGACCAGTATAGCACCAGAATTCCTGCCTTTTTACTTTCATATTTAAAAAGACACCTTCGTTTCCGTAATAAATGTAGTTTGAATATGTACCAGTTATAAACTTAGAAGGTATCTTTTCATGAGTATAAATTCTTTCCTCTCCTTTTTCTTATATGTGGACACTTTATTATGAAAATATTGTATAAGGTTGTGTACTAGTGTCAATAAAATTGACATTGTGTTAACAAGCTGTGACTTTTCTGTCAGATTTTTAGTATATTAAGAACAAAAATCTTTAATGCAGGCAATCTCTCATTGTAATTTGGGGTTTGATTTGGTGCTGGAAAAGATAATGGGATGAATAGATAAGGGAATTTATTTAAAGATGTATTAATTACACATATTACTGAAAAATAAATTACTCCCTGATCCTGCTCTTATCTTGTGCCACATTCCCCTATTATTTCCATGCTCAGGTGCAAATTAAAATTCTAACTATTTTCAACAAAGAAAAAAATATTTATGAGTGTGAAACATTGCTGAAATTTCACTTGCATTTTAGCTTTGGGTCTTAATAACATCCTAGCTGACAGCATATCCACTTTTCTAAATTATAATCCTGTGGAAGGTATGGGGCATATGGAAAGGTTATATAAAGAAAAGGCTGGAATCATTATAAAAGCCTCCATAGATTTTTATGCTATGCCTTTGCAGAATCTGTAACCCACTTGCCTTCTAAGGAAAGGGAATTGAAACTTTTTTTTCCACTGTTGTATATTTCACATAGCCATAAATGTGTACCGTCAGGCACTTAACATAACTGCACATTTGAAACTGCACTATTACAAGCTTTGAAATAATCCACCTTCTATTATTGCAATGTAGCATTTCTATCTCAACCAATCAAAGGAGCAACTCATCAAGGTATATATTGTACTAATTTTCTTGGATGTAGCCAGAGGGCCTGAAATAGTTTACTCCATATATTCTAGATGTGACTTTCTCCTAGTCATATTTTAGCACCTTGTACAATAAAATTGGCAATCTGCAAGGGTTTTAAAAAATTGCAGTAATGCTCTGTTTGTTTGAGATATTAAAAATGTAAGATAAAAGTCTGAAAAAATAAATAGCAAGATCTTTGGATGTCATTCTGTCACCTCACAAAACTGTACACACATAGGGAGCCTTGATTGCCTCTAGGAAATATGAGAAGTAGGGGCTGAAATTAAATATCCTATTTAATCTAAATACGGACTTCCCTAATCATATGACTTCACCCACTCACCCATTTTTCAAGGAATGAGTCAAGTGTTGAGGGAATTGTGTGGAGAATATGGAGGCTTACCTGCTCCTACCTTGCTATGCATGTAATAACCGGGATGGGGTAGGATGAATAAATCACAGTAGTTGTTTCTCTCGATGCTATAAATTAGATAGTAACTATTAACTGAAGGTAATACTAGTCATATTTGTAGAGAAATTTGACTTTCGTTACTTATAAATGATTTTTTTTATTCAACTTTAGTTGCAGGTAAGTAAGCATAAGCAGTGCAAAAGTTAATCTTCCTCCTTTTTCAAAAAAAAAGGGAGTGTAGTGTAAATTACATAGCTCTGGTTTTGAGTAAGCAACCATTTCCATTGTATTTGGTTACATAAACATGGTTTCATCTCATTTTAATTAGTTGGCAAACCATGATAGGAAAATTTGGATTAATCTTGGATTAGACATTGAACATATCAGTTGTTTTATTTAGACATAACTAAAACTAGTTTGTTGAAAACCATAATTAGAAGCCTTAATTTTTTTCCTGCTATGCATGAAGAAGGAACACAATAGGAGAAGTGTTTGAGGACAAGTGTAGCAGCTTCACTGTTTACAACAAGGTGTTTGTTGTGAGAGATCTAAGGCTTATACATCTTCCATAACTATTCATGAGGGCTAGAGCTGGTTACATTCAATTCAATAGAGGCTAAGAAAGATTTTTTTCCACTGCTACAAGCAATGTGAAACTTATTCCAACCAGTTGTCGGTATTCAGAACAGATTATGTTACTACTTAGAGAACCCTGCCAAAAAGATTGCAGTCATTTAAATACCAGTAGCTCCTCTGAATTTTATGATACCCTACTACTTAAATGGGTTGAGGGGATTTAATCTTCATATCTACTAAATTAAAGTTTTCTGAATGTATTGTATTGTTCCTTCAGCAGGCTCTCTTGCTGGCAGCCCTCACCTTTCAGAACTGTCAATCAATTCTCAAGGTGGAACAGCCATAGCAAATGCAACTTTGTCTCCTAATTTGAGTCCTGATAATAGGCAAGCTTCTCCATTGATCAGTCCCTTGCTGAATGATCAAACTGGAGTCCGCGCTGATGAAGAAGAGGAGGTCAGGAGAAAGGTACTGATGTTGGCTCTACCTATTAGGTATGCAAAGGGCATTTAGCAATTTTTATTTGTTTTCAATGGATGACTGTTTTAAAAAACTTCCATGCTGAAAAAAATGGCTGTATCTCTCACCATCTTAGGCTACATAAGCAGTAGAAACTTAGAAGTGGTGACAGTTGCCTCTATTCCTATGCATACATACCACTTCTGAATATAGAACTGTTTTGTACATTTTGTATTTTTGGAATAAAGCTATTCCTTTTTGCTGATCTTGGGCATTTTTCCTTAATTCTCTGTAATTTTGCAGCATCCAACTCTTTTAATACCCAAAGCTAATTGTAAGAGTCCTGTCGTTATCATTTGAGTACAGATTAAAGTCATTTTGTTTTCTGATTAATTTCAGAGGTTTCCAACTGACAAGGCATATTTCATTGCTAAAGAAGTTGCCACTACAGAACGGACTTACCTGAAAGATCTTGAAGTCATCACATCGGTATGCTTCTTTTTCTCTCCTTAAATTAAAAATTATGGAGCCCATATTTCCTTAAATATCTTTCTTCCTGTCTCTTACTACACCTCCCACTATCCCCAGCAACATAATCTTTTATCACAGACATACTCAATCACAAAATGTATCTGATGAGATTGGAATTTCATCTAAGTACTGGAGCAGAAGATAAAAATTTAATTTTGTGTGTGTGTGTATGTGTGTGTGTGTGTGTGTGTTTAAATGCACAGATGGATCATTTAATTTCTGATTGTTTTGTTCTCTTTACTTTGTTGCAGTTTTAATGCTTTGTATTTTGAATCTTTATCTCATTTCAATATACCCACAAAGCAGCATTCCTATTGTCATTTGTCATTACTGTTCCATCACTTTCAGCAATACTTTAAAATGGGAGAAAATCAAAGGATGGCTGCTTAATAAGCAGAAAAATTGATTAAGCAACAGTATCCCAATCTGTCGTGAGTTCCCAGAGTGGATATGTTTAGCTTTCAACAATTGAATTCAACAGAGGCTGTACAGCTAATACTTAATTTGGGATTCTATAGCCTTGTCAGTTCTGTCTACAACATCTTGTTAATGGAGTAAAAACACCAAATTAACTGAAATATTGCTCAGCTGCTCTTTTTCAGTAGACTCCTAAAGTGAGTTATTTTTTCTCAAGTACTTTCCCATAGATTGTGAACTTTATAGCTTTCCTGGATATTTGAACTCAAGACTCTGCATCAGGATATGCTTAGATATACCATGAAGAGACCGAATGGGGGATATTCTAAACAACATCTTTAGAAATATTTCCTTTTCCAAATACAACATGGAACTATGCCATTGAATAGTCTTAATAGCTAAACAGAAGACTACAGATAGTTTTGGTGATTCTTCTGCTGATTCTGGATAACTTTGGTATTTTAAAATGACTGCACAACTCAAGAAATTTAATGTTTTATGCATTAACATACACAAACCTATCAAAGATAGAACAATTGCTGGTTAAAAAAATAATGGGGTTAAATATTTTCCACTTATTTGGGGTCAGGAGAACTTTAGCTTGGATATACCGTGTGTCCCCCCCACCAAATATGACCGACTCCAAAAGTAAGTTCTAGCTTGATTTTTACCTGTGCACCCAATATAAGCCCTATCCCAAAATAAGCCCTAATTAAGACCCTGCCCACTCCAGGGCACACAGGTAAAAATTAAGCTAGGGTGGGGATTGCGGGGTGGAACTGCCCTACAACATACCCTTGGACAGTTTCAGCCAGGCCTCATACACCTTGGCCCATTTGTTCTAAAGCTGGCAAGACTTTTCTGAAGGCCTCTGTAGCCAATAACAAAGCTTCAGATTGATCCAAAGCTCTGTTATCAGCTGCAGAGACCTTCAGGAAAGACTTGCTGGCTGAAGAAGTTCCTGAAGGCCTTTGACAGCAAAGAGGAGGCTGCGGGCAATGCACAGAAGTGAGGTGAGTCAGTGGATGACACCCCCCCCAATAAGACCTGGTGCCTTTTTTTGATAGCAAAAATATATAAGACCGGGTCTTATTTTGGGGAAAACATGTGGTAGTAAATGTAGAAGCATGCTTCTTAAATAAAAGAATCTGTCCCATTGGCAATAAGCTCAAAATACCTAATTTCAATGTTATAATACTAATTTATTGGTAAGGCTATTGCTACTAAACAAGTATTGTCTGATTTCCCTATATACATACCCTAACCAGGAATGTCTGTGCCAAGACTTTCTCTGATTACTATGCTTGGTTTTTCTAGTGGTTCCAGAGCACAGTAAATAAAGATGACTGCATTCCAGAAGCATTGAAGAGCCTCATATTTTCAAACTTTCAACCTTTGCACAAATTTCACACCAACTTTCTAAAGGAGGTAGAACAGCGAATTGCTGTGTGGTAAGAATTCCAGCAGTTATTTTAATAAAATGACATTTTGATGCTAAATATTTTACGTTTTGTTCTACCAAGTTCAATCCAGAATGGATATGCTGTCAGTTCCAGATTGATAAAGGAAAGAACAGAACAGAACAGAATTCTTTGTTGGTCAAGTGTGATTTGTCTCCGGTGCATAAACTCTCAGTGTACATACAAGCGAAAAGTGATAAATAAAGATCGTAATCATAAAATACGTTAATCATAAATCATCATAAAATCTTAATGCTATAAATTATTTTTAAAAACTGCAGCAGATTCCTGTATGACTGACGGTTGTTCCTAGATATTTTCTTTTAATAAGTTAAATTAGAAAAATTTCAATCTCAGTAGACACTTGTGTCAAGATATTGTCATTTAGAACTATTAAGAAGCTTTTGCTTGACATTTGCAATACAGAATTATACATTTTTAAGGTATCTTGGTAAATTAGTTTCTTTTTCTTTACCACAGACTAAATTTCAAGTTCTGGAATAATAGTCCAATTTAGAATCTACTTTGATTTCATCCCATCAGGTGTTTACATTTAATTCAGTTTTATCCACCTCCTTTCTTATTTATTTTTTATTTAATTCATATCCCACCCACCCCTTTGCTATCAAGAGTGACTCTTGGAGACTTTCTTTCTCCCTAGAACTAAATAAATATAGAAGGGAGTGTTTTACCTTTACAGGGACTTTCTAGTTGGGTGTGTATTCACTGCACTATGAAATAGATCTATTTTGCGACTTCTTTTTGCTAAAGATTTTCTGGTCCCGTCAATGCACCACTAAACAAAGAAGCTATTGAGGCTCTAAGTTCTTTAAAATAAAGGAAGAGTATAAGAAAATACAGATAATTGAGGTATGTGAGTGCAGGTCCAATGAGTGGATCAGTGGTATACAGCCATAGATGACTCTTGACTATTTCCCATCTACTACATACATTGCAACAATGATCAACTGATTTGCAAATCTGTAACCAATCTGAATCCCTTTTAATGTCAGGAATTTTTTTTTGCCAAATCCCATATTATGACTTCAAAATGATAGGTGCTCAGAACCAGATAATGAGGTGCAGTTGTCTATATAATACAGGCAGCCCTCAACTTATATCCACTGGTTTAGTGACCATTTGAACTTACAATGGCACTGAAAAAAGTAACTTATGACCATTTTTCACACTGATGCCTGTTGCAACATCCTCATAATCAGGTGATCAAAATTTGGATGCTTGGCAACCGGCATGTATTTATGACTGCTACAGTGTCCTGCGGTCATCTTTTGCGACTTTATGACAAGCAAACTCAATGGGGAAGCCAGATTCACTTAACAATCATGTTACTAACTTAACTGCAGTGATTCACTTAACAACTGTGGCAAGAAAGGTCGTAAAATGGAGCAAAACTCATTTAATAACTGTCTTACTTTGCAAAAGATATTTTGGACTCTATTGTGGTCACAAGTCGAGGGCTATCTATAGAAGCATTTTCTTTAAAAAATTCTTCCATTGAAGTTAGTAGAATATGAGCTGTTGGATTTTTAATACAATAATACAATTGCATCACAGATAGGGCCAAGCACTTTAAAATTATTAATAAGAGCAACAGATTGCACAATATAGGTACCTTTCTAAATTAGAAAAGAGCCTTTCTAAATTATTTTTATTTTAGTTGAGTCTGTTTTCTCAAATTATTTTCTGACTATTTGATTTGATTGCATTGCTAATAAACAAAAGAGTTGTTACAGGTTTTCAAATTAGCATCTAGAACATATTTTGATTGCTTTGCTATATTGATTAAAAGAAAGATAGTAATAAAATCTTAATAGTCTAGTGAGACACTTTATTTGTAATAAATATTTATCAGAAGAGACCTTCTTTAATCAATTAGCTAAGCACATTTAGAATTCCATTGCTTTTAATAAGAATCTCTTTATTTCATCTCCGTGGATTAGGAGAGGCTGCTTATTTTCATTCCTGAAGCCAATAGTTATATAAAGGAACAATAATCTTGCAATCAGAATGACTGTAGATTGCAGAAGAAAGGAGAACTGTTCTAATTCACTGTTCTTTAATCATCCCTTCCAAATAAATCCAAACAAGGAAGTGAAGAAACAGTAGGATGCTGTTATTTATTATATAATACATTTTAAGCCTATGAACTCACAAATAGTGTGTGCATCTATTATCACTCCTTCAGTTGCCTATTATTCATAAACATATGTTTGACTAGAGATTTTTCTTCAGACTGTTTTGGTCAAGAGAAACTATGATCTTTAGATGTGGTTTTTCATCCTGTTCCAGCAATCCTTCCCCTGGTTTCCCACACTCTCTTTAGCAATGAGGGAACTCTGATTCCCTGCTTGTTGGCTATAGATCATGATCTGTTCATGGTGGGTAAAGTAGACTGATTTTGCTAGTGACAGAATGTCTGAAACTTTTTGTTGTAAGACATCAATGATATCAACTGTGGAAACAGGAATCTAATTGAGCCAATATATTATCTGAGTGGCACAAGAGAAACAAGATTTGGCATTTCAGTTTTTAAACTTGTCTCGTTTTTAAAAAAATACTTGTGGATCCCCATTTTCCTTTATTCACTTTTATTTTGGATTTGTAGAGTGATCTCATTTTGGCTGTAAGTGACAGTTATGATTTATTTGCCTTTCATTCAATATTTCCTGGGAAAGTGAAGCTTCCCTCCCATGATCTTCTGAATCTAGGTTTAGAGCTCTTAAATTATTCCTTGCTGTCTTTTTACATTTCACCTTTCCACCCTGATTCCTGCTTTTGAGACACGGCTGTCACTGGATGTGCTAGTTTTAAATGTTTCTGCAGTTGAATTGACTGGCTATAAGCTTAATAAAGGTCTCTTTTAGAGCTTCCGCTATGCTGTTAACTGCAGTTAGAAGCTCAAAGTTTGACAATACAGTTTGTGCTGTCAATAGGCATTGTCTGGCTGTAAAATCAGTAACATTTCCCTTTTTTTAAGTCCTCATCCCCTTATTGTACCAGCCTTGCAGCAGCTGGACAAATGGTTATGATCCTCTGGCAGGAGTTTCATCAAACATGGAAATGGAAAGATCTAAAAATTGGAAGTACTCCATTTGTAGATCCCACATAATTAAGCAATATTGGTGAATCTTTTCAGCACGGAGGGCTGAAATGGGAGCATGCACACATGCTGGAAACTGGAAGAGTAGCTGTCCGGTGCACTTGTGTTCCCCAGAAGATGATCTTCCAGTTTCTGGCACGCCTCTGCACACTGGCGACCTGGTCTTCCGGTTTCTGGCATGCATGCACATGCAAAGATCAGCTGGCAGGTTGCATGCATGCACCAAAAATTGGAAGGTCATCTTCCCGGCACATGCATGCACATCGGGTGGCTGCTCTTCCGGTTTCTGGCACTCCCACGCCCATGAAGACCAACTGGTTGGCACACCAAAACCCAGAAGAGCAACGGCTAACAGTTCGTGTGCCTGGAAAAATGGCTCTGCATGCCAGTTCTGACATGCATGCTATAGGTTCGCCATCACAGTAATAGGGTGATGTCTTTTAGAGAGGCTATCGGGAAGAGTAAAGAGAGGAGGTGTTAGTTACTTACAGCAAGTAATTATTTTTTTTTGCTTTTTAGGCATCTGTCAACTTTTGAGCTGTCTGGTAGGCTTAAGTGAAGTTTGAGAAGCAGAATATGACTAATACCTCTTTTTCCTTTTCCTTTTCCTCATACTACAAAGATAGATCTTTGCTTTGATCTCAGAGTACGTCCAAAACTCCAGCAGAAAAATAGAATAAAAGCAAAAGAGCAAATTAAAAATTGATTTTAGATGGAGCTCGTAGCAATAGATACTACCTAGACACCAGCTTTCAGGCTACTTAAAAATCAAGTTTAAACAGAGAATTCACATATGTTTGCATGTGCCTTTTCTAAATACCTTGGAAAAGTTAGTTCTTTAACATATTCGTCAGATGATTTTCATGAATGAGCAGGTTTGTTCAGCTTCTTCCAATCTTTTATTTATTTATATACATACATACATACAAACTAATGTTTGGTCTCGTGATATTACTTACCAGTTCAAATATGGGTTCAAAAGGTAAAATTAGAGAAGTACAGAATTCTCATTAAAAATGAATTAAAACGTGAATTGGGAAAAATCAGCTCATTACTAAACAGAGTAGAAAAGTGATACCCAATGTATGTAGCGTGAGATTTGTGGGAAAGAAAATTATAAGGGAGAAAATAAATTGATCCATTCTTTTCCAGACTTGTATGCTTGTTTTCCAACAGTAGGATTAGTCCAGACTATTGTTATTTCAATTTTAAATATTTTCATCAAGGAACTAGCAACTTGGGACTGGCAACAATTGGGACCAGCAATTTAGTCATTAAGTAAAGCAGTTGTTAAGTGAAACCACCACTCGGCATATAATTTCCTTCAGCTTTTCTTTGCTTTTCAGACCTGCAAAGATTTTAAGTGTGAGTACTTTACAATAACTTGTAAAGTTATTTTTTTATCACTGGCGTAACTAAGAATGTTTGCTAAATGAGGACTCTACTGTAGTGTCTGTACATCACCACTGTTCCCTCTAAGGTGCGCGGCTGCGCGGCCATGCACATGGCAAGAAAACACCGCGCAGCACTTTTCAACTCCCGCGCAGTGATTTCTACTGCCACAGGCTCCGGAAGCTGGGGAGGAGGTCCTTTGCAGGAGGCTAGAACTGGCCAACTGGCCCTGGACTTGTTTTGATGAGCACGGGGTGACTGACAGTAGTTGTGAAGACCCAAAGCCCCTGCCACCACCGGACTAACTGCTGCTGCCTCCTCCTCCTGTAAAGCACTGCCGGATTTGCTGCCCGGCACTCCGGCTGAGGTGAAGCCACCAAAGCTCCCACCGGTGCCCCCGCTGTGCTTTTGAGGAGCCTTGAGGCCATGGGAGCCAGTAGGAAGGCGGCGGTGGGGCGGGAGCAGGAAAAAAAGTCCCAATGGCTCCTCAAAAGCACAGTGGCAGAGGAGGGGGCAGGGGTAACGCGGTGCCCAGCTCAGGTGCGCCGAGCAGAGGGGGAGCCGCCACTGCTGCCACGGGCAGGGGCGCCAGCGGGAGCTTTGGCAACTTCAACTCAGCCGCAGCGCCGGGCAGCAAATCCGGCGGTGCTGTTAGAGGAGGAGGAGGCAGTAGCAGTTAGTCCGGTGGTGGCAGGGGCTTTGGGGCTTCACAACTACTGTCAGCCGCCCCGTGCTCATCAAAACAAGTCCAGGGCCAGTTGGCCAGTTCTAGCCGCCTGCAAAGGATCTCCTCCCCAGCTTCCGGAGTCTGTGGCAGTAGAAATCACTGCACGGCAGTTGAAAAGTGCTGCGCGGTGTTTTCTTGCCATGTGCGCGGCCGCGCA